TCACGGCCGGGCAGGGGCTGCCTCTGGTGTCCTGCCCAAGGCTGGGCTTGGGGAAACGCTGGGAATGCCGGCAGCCTGCCCTGGCACACAAGGCCTTTCCAGTCCTGAGGGGAAATGGTTAAAGATGCTGCTTGCCTTGCACATCTTGTTTCCTCGCAGTGCCCGGGACCCAAGTGCAGTACCACGGATGCTAAAAAAATACAAAAATTCAGGTACTTGAAAAATAAAATGGGAAGTCTTCTGCTACTGCAGCTGTGAAGTACAGGGCAATGACTCCAGAGGAGTCTGCTCAGCCTTGACTGATACTCAGAGCAGCTGAATCTGCTAGATCTCTTATATATTTATTTTTTTTTTAATGCCTCAGGAAGCTACTTGAAGTAGATTTTAAAACTCTAGAGGCTGTGCCTGGTTCCTGGTGTTATTTGCTGCAGTACATGGTGCCCGCTACCACCACAGCTGGGCAAAGAAATGCCATCCCTTCTCTACACAGTAAGATAGACTCAGTTTGTAGTAAAATATCAGTGTCCTATTGGCTTTCATTTCAGTGTTAAACATGTGGCATTTTTATGCTTGGAAATGGTTTTGCCTCAAAAAAACACCCTTGGCACACATGCAGATATGTGTTCCCCAAACAATGGCTTCCTTTCACAAAAGCTCCCAAACAAGGCAGCAACTGTAGGAGGGTACACACAAAGTCATCTTTGTAATATGCTTTAAAAAATGTTTGAAGATCATGTGAGAAGCTGAAACAGAAGAAATTTGAGCAAATCAGCATTACACTTCACAATTCTCTGTCTTCACAAAATCTGACATTTCATTTCTCAAGTTAATGGCATGTTCTTGACTGCAAATTAATCAAGTCCAAGCAAAAAGTAGTTGTTAGAAAGATGTTAGCATTTACAATAAAGCTGTAATGGCATTCTAAGTCAGTTTTTATGTGAATATGCTCACCTTTTTCCTTAAAGTAAGCATTGTAATCACAGCAAAAGCCTAGTCTTTATCAGAACATACACTAGAACAATCAGTTTTCATATGGAGTAAAAACTCTGGGCAAGACAGGATATACAGTGATCAGTAAAAAATCCTCTCTGCCTTCTTTGTGCTCATCAGGTTTGCAGAAAAGAATCAGCCATTTGGCCTTCTACTGAATGTCAACTTCAAAAGAAAATACATTGTTCACTAGCACAAAATAACTATGAAACAACAAGAAGATACAGCTTTTCTAGCAAATACTTTCCATTGTGAACACTCAGAGCTGCACACAAAAAAAGAATCTATCTGTGCATATACATGAAAGGATGACTTCTTACCAGTATGGTGGAGCTGTACTCCAATGTAATGAGGTCTGAAGTGGGCAGGGAGAGGAAATGGGGAAAGAGCATCTTTCTACTCATAAACAAGTATGCAATAACATTTATTAGAAGAGCTGCCCATGTGAAATTTGACCAGATTTCAAGGATAAATACAAAGCTCTTAAGTCCTCCAAATACTCTGTGGTCTTTGTTAATAGAAATTACTTAGGTTTTCTTCCTTAACTCCTGAATCAGTTTTGACAAGAAGGTGGCTGGTAGAATTACCAGACAGAAGAGTTTTGGACATTCCAATCTAGCTGACAATATCTGCATCTAACTGTATGTTTGGTTTTGGTGTTTGTTTTTTCATAATTTACTAAATGTCAGACTGCTCATGATCAGTACACTGATGATTTCTTGGGCATTCTTCATTCTGACAATATTCAGTTCAAAGACTTTCCTCAACACTGTCCTTCCAGAAATCCACCAAATCTCAAAGTATTAATGCCATCTTTCTTACAGTAATGTCCTTAAACAAAGTCGTATTGTTAATGGCTGCATGTTAAACACAATGTATCATTATGTAGTCACCAAAGGTTTGTGAGTCATCTAGATGTTTTGCAGGACAATTTTTATAGACAGTCAGAGAAAAAGCCTGTCTACATTGCATAAGGTCTTCAATCTGCATCACACATCTCTAGCCACGTCCAGTCATAAGGATCTGTCTGCTGATTAGACAGAGGGCTTGCCAGAAATTCTAACAATTACACTTCAGAAAAGCTGAAATATTTCCCATGGAGGAATGTTTTATCCTACAAAGGGAACTCAGCCCAGGTTACCTCTTTTCTCCATGCTTTGAAATAAAGCAAGGGCCCCAAACCCTAAGGGACTACACACAGCACAGCAACAGTAAAAAAAAAAAAAAAGATGTTTTAATTGCTATACGTTTGTTTAAAAAATAAAATAGAAATATCAATCAAGTTTATTTGCCTGAGAAATCTGTTGCTTCTTTGACCATTAATTTTGCCACTTGGCAAATTCTTCCCTTCTACAGTTTACCATTACCAGTTCAAGATCCACTTCATCAATGAAATCGAAGGCAAGGAGATAGACCCAACTTTCACCATCTCTCTGACTGGCACTAAGAAAGATGCTAAAAACCTGCCCATCACACTGTAAGTACTGGTGTGAGATGTCATTGTGTCAGTGAGAAACAAGGTGCCAGTTTACATCACCATGTACGTAATCATGCTGTGAGTGAAATGGTTTATTAGAACAGTTAAGTGAAGATGAACTGGAAATTGGCCTCTTTTCACCCATACCTCCTAAAGTCACAAACTTTTACAATGTTGATACAGCTTTTGCTGGAAAGATCTCTATAAACCAAACTTGTTCATCTGAGCAGTTTCCCTGAACTTTAAGTATCCTGTGCACTTATGTTCAGTCCATCCCATGGCTAACACAGGAATGTCTAATCAAATAAAAAATAAGCAGCTGTAATAAAGGAAAAGAATTTTCAATATTTCTCATGATGGACACTAGCTGTACTAAACAAAAGCAAAAGCAACAGCATGGGTTGACGTTTGCTCTCGCAGGCAATTGACAAAATAGATTCTATTATGGGTAACCTTTTCTTTTGCTGTCAGAAACCACCACTGCTTCACCAGCTGTTCAAGCTTCTCCCACTTCTGCTTTCCTCCATGTTAATGTATTTAACTACATTATGCACCTGGAGAAAGTATCCTAGAGACATTCTAATTCCCTCCCCAATGCCCCTCCCCCCCAGGAGACAGAACCAGATCTTTGTTTGGTTTTAAAGAAAAAAGAAACTAGTATTTTTCACTTGAATCCATAACAATTAGGACAGCATTATTCTGGTTTTGTATTCTGCAGATTTGAAGGTATTAATGGAAATAAAACCCACTCCTTTCTCATCACCTTGGACACTGATATTGGTGAGCTAATAATGATCAAGTTCAAATGGGAAGGAACTGCAGTTTGGGAAAATATCTGGGACACAGTTCAAACCATAATACCATGGACAAAAGGCACCCGTCGACCAGGACTTATAGTGAAGACAATAAGAGTGAAAGCAGGGGAAACACAACAGAAGTAAGTGTAACAAAACCACTGCTTTTCTGTAATCACACCACAGATGTTTGGTATACAGGTTATCCTAGTTCAAATTCAAGCATCTTAGTCCCAGCACTCTCATCAGTGAATTCATCCATGTATAATTTCTGGCTTTCCTCACTCTCCCTAGAGGAGGCTGCATTATTTTAAAGTGACTTAAAGAATTTCTTTGTTCTCAAGTCAGAAATGAATAGTGGGAAATATTCTGGCTCACCACTGCTGCTAATTTGAGTTGAAGGCTCAATAACCTTGGGTGACAATTTTGTCAAGACTTGGGAATAGAGTAGTTAGCACATAGAAGAATTTTTGTTAAGTTCTGCAGTGCCATTTTCCTACACAATTAATAGTAACTAATGACAATTTCTTACTCATTTTTCAAATGTGATTATCTCACTCCATAAGGACCATATGAAATTTCAAAGAGAAGATATTATGTAAGATAAATATTGACTCCAATGTTAAAGCTATTAAAATTTCAAGTTCCTACTTATAAAAATAGGCCAAATCTGAATTATTTTACTTTCAATACCTACTTCATTGAGAATCTCAGCATCACCATTCTTGAAAGTCCTCATTAGAAGGACTACATGCAGCACTACACAGTCATCTGATTATCCATTGAAGTTCACATTTTTATAAAATTCTGTTATTTTAGTCTCATTCATTTAAGAGCCAGTCTGGTGTCTGATATTTGATAATTAATTACTATACTGTGCAGGCTGTATAAGAGGTTCCTGGAGTGATGAACTGTGGAAGCAAAGTACAGATATTTTGAAATGTCTGTAGAATGTAAGCAGTCTTGCAAAACAAAAAGACTATCTATACTTACACATACCACACTTTCATTGGTATTTGACATTAACTTTTACACTTTGGTTGTGCTTTTTTTCTATAGTATGAAAGCAGTGATGTGAATTTTGTCAGCTGAAATCTCAAGTAGCACTAGAGAACAGTTTTCTGGAGGAAAAAAAACAATTCTGAATACAAACTGAAGTCTGCAGATTTGGGTTTTTTGGGGGGCATGGGCATTACTTGACTCACCAAGTCTGAGTGCCCTTGTTCTCTACATACAGCAATGCTAATAACACTTGTGAAACTCCTTCTTCACGCAAAGAAGTTTCAGCTAGAAGACAGAATAACAAAACTTCAATGATTCCCACTGCTTTCATCCTTTGAGAAATTTTAACTAAACAGTTTAATTAAGGTTAATGGGAAAAGCATGTCTTACCTTGTAACTGTGGTTCAGTTTCAGGTGATTTTTCCTTGCTACAGCCTCTTTCTTACCAGCAGCAGTTACAACTACTGCAGGCTTTCTGTGGAACAATACTTACTAGCAGAGCTGCATCTCCTTGACACTAACACAAAAGACAAATAATTTAAGGAAAAATGTTCACAGACAATTTGTGTGAGCTGGAGGGCAGAGGAAGGATCGTATTTTATTGGGTTTTGACCCCCTGAAAATGTATTTTATAGGTATTTTCCTTTCCTAACCCAAAACAAGGCACATGTTCCTGCCATTAAAAAATTAAAAATTTCCAAATCAGAACTGACATACCTGCCAAAGTAAATTAAGTGTAGTATACACTGCAAATCAAAGGTTTCTGTTTAAATACTGATTTTTGTACCTTGAGAAAAGTAGTACGAAAGCTGGGAAAGAATTATGTCAGCTATACTCATTTTTCTGACCAGAAAGCTCCTGTCCAACACAGTTGGGTCAATAACCTGGCACAAGCCAATTACTACTGAGGTATTACTTAAGGAAGGCTAGGAAATTGTCAACTGAGTTGGGTAGCTATTACACTAACAAAAAAGGATAAGGTGCTGGTATCTTCAGGTAGCTAATACTCCCTGGAAGTTTTCTGGCTGGTAGGAAAGCGTGAGGTTTTGTCAAGATTTTAATGGATATTGATTAGGTTTGGGGTTTTATTTTCTGTGTAATCTGGTCTTGTCAAGGGAACGGAAATGACAGATTTCCATGTGGAAATGTGGGATGGAATGGGGGGGTGAATGAAAGATTATTAGAGGATTCTAAAATGGGCAGCAAAGGATACTCAAGGAAAAGTATTTTCTTCAAAGAAAACAATGCATAGATTTTGGTCTTCTTGGAAACATCAATAATTCTGGATCTAACAATTAGTGATTTTAGAAATTTAATATTGAAAAAAGTAGTAAACACAGGATGTGTTTTGAGTTCTCTTGTATTGTTTCCTGAGCATTTGAACAAACTGTTGACAGTATTTTATCTCCATGTACCTCTACCTCACAAAGTTTGTGATATTTACACACATGATAAATTTGTTAAGATTATCTAATGACAAACAGACACAACAGAAAAACATAAACGGTACCAAATAGAGGCAAGGCAGAATGCACATCTCTTTCCTCACAAACCTGTAAAATCAGATACCTTCCTGTACAAGACAGGATAGCCAGATTCAGGGTATCTAGAGAACACACTTTTATACAGACAAGAGCCCTAAAAAGTAACATCATGCTTACGTGCTGTGTTTTCTTTCCAGACTGACATTTTGCTCTCAAAGCATTGACAACCTTCATCTTCATCCAGCCCAAGAGAAAACATTTGTGAGGTGTGAAGACCAATTTCAGAAACAAAACAGAAAATGAGCAAGTACACAAAGAACATCTACTCACCAAAATATATTTAAAATGCTACACATCAAGTAAAATGTTTTAAAAATACACAGTTACATTAATGTCCTGATTTCATAGGGTAGTTTCATAGGTGAAGCTACATTAAAAGAATTTAGATTTTGTGATGCAACAGAAAGCTGAAATATCTGCTTTGTTCATCTACAAGCCTACTCTCAGTGTTATCCATGAGCAATTTCAATGGCAACTCTCCATTTTAAATTGTTTTAAGTTTACAAAAACACCTGCTCATTAGAAATAAAAAACATACTATTTGAAAGAATAATTACCTTTGAAAAATTTCGTTTTGCTGTGTTAAAAGAAAAAATGGAGCTTCATTTCCTATAAGAGACTGAAACACTAGTACTAATACAGTTAAACCTTTCTCCTATATTATTTCCTAATGAAGAGGGAGATAATTCAGAGAAGAAAGTATTCCCAAATAGATAACATTGTTCACAAAGAGTTTGAACTGTTTACTTTATAGCTTTCAAAACCTAAAACCATCTCAACATACAGAATGCTTGAGCTGTTATAACCAAAGCACAAGCCAAATAACTATGCCACCTAAAAACACACAAAACTTTGTCCTAGTGGAAAATGCTTTGCTGTTTAACTATTAAAGTACTGATTTAAATTACTAGTAATCTAACTATTATAATAATGTTTAGTATACTACATGCCATTCTAGCACAGCTAAGTTGAGTTAACCTTTGCATTAAAATCATATCTACCTGTTCATGTAAGGCCTGAGATTTTTAGATTTGTAAATCACCATATAGCAGATTTTAGCATGATTAGAAACTGCATGAATAAATGAAAATGGTAAAATTCTCAAGCATTATCATTGTGTATAAACAAACTTAATAAATTCAAACATACACAATTCCCTTGTTTCCTATGTCAGAATATAAGCTACATGAAGAAACACTGTCTCAGATTATTTTTATTTTACAGCTAGTGCATACTGAAATGGAAATCAATATCTAAGTCAGAGCATTTAATTTGTCACTTCATAATGCTAGGCACAGGATTCATTTAAAAATTTGTTTCTACAACTCTGTATTCTGAATGTAATTTGTTTTAAATGTTCTCTAAATGGAAAAAAAATGTGAAAGATTGTACTAAGGCCTGAAGCAAAACAGATTTCCCATACCAATATATTACAGGTTATTACGCATTAAAACATACAAATGTCACCAGGATTAAACTGAAATTAATTTTAAAAGCATGAAAAAGGACCAAGGGGAGCACAACTAGCAATTCTGAAAGCAACAGTGATCAAATGCTGGATGCAGCCAGCTTTGCCAACCACTCAGAATAGTAACTTCTAACTTTTAAAAGCTGTTTTCACTATTATTCCTTTAAACAAACATGAATACTCAGTAAGAAAACATAAAGGCTGACTAAATATGATGCAAACTGAAACATACTTACTTTTCAAGTGAGAATGGTTGTCCTTCCAAGATGAAAATTTAAGAAGCTGATGTGAAATTTAAAATGGCCACTTGGAGTAGCATTTTCATTAGAAGAAATATTTGTAGATTTAGATACAAACTGCATGTAAAAGAATCCTTCAATCTTCACTGAAAACCAGAGTTTATGCTTTAGAAGATTTTGTTCAGTGAAGCAAATAGTTTTTTTCAAACACACAATGTATTTCCACCTTCTACATAAAAAATTTTAGTAATTCCATGCTTTAGGTTGCTAGACAAGAGAAAAATTAAAAGAACATTCAGCATTTGAACTCTGGCAGATACAAAGATAGTTATTCTGATGTAATTTTCCACAAACCCCATGTCCAAATACACCCTGTTTTAATAGCAATTACACTGATTTCTGATACAAAAATGAAATAAAGCCTGAGTTGCAGCATACTCCAAGTCTAACAATGCCTGAACTTAACACTGAAGTCATACCTGCAATGCCAAGTGTCCACAGTGGTGCCTCACTTGGTGCTCTCAGATTATTCCTGTCTCCCTCCAAACAACTAAACTGAGACCTTGAAGGTCATCAGGAACCTGCTGCTGTCAGAGCAAGCACAGTTCAGAAGGATGTACTGACTGCTGTCCTTTCAATCACTTCTTTGTAACCATGAACCTCCAATATTCAGAAGTAAAAATATCTTCCTTCCTTTTGTGTTTTTCCTGAAATAAATATTGGAACATTTAATTAAAGGCAAACTTTATTTATACCATACAGACTATAAGTTGCTTATAATGTCTCATATCTAAAGAGGAGTTTGATGCTCTTCTGATTCACACCATTCTGACTATACTTGCTTTTACACCAGAGAGGGATGTACACATATAAGGCCTAAAACATTAAGAAATAAGAGGAGTAAATGAATAGCTACAACAAGCAATTGTACTTGTTTATTTCCCCCAGCACATTTTACAATATACACTAAATTTGCATTGTAGATACTTGGGCATTATTTCTGCCCCTCTGGTTTGTGTTCCTAGGTAGAAATGCAAACACAACCACCACCACATCTCTTGGGCACTGATGAGGCCCATTTGCAGATGGACTGTGCTCTAACTGATCTTTTCTTAATACCTTTTGCCCTGATCGTGCTGTTTAGCTACAAGGGGAAGCACTTCTATTAAAAAAAAAAGTCATGGGAAAAAACAAACCAACCCAAAAAACAAGAACTGTGAGGAAGGAACTCTGAATATGCTTTGATTACATCAAAGCAGACGCTGCTCAGTTAGGGAAACAGCTGTCTAAGCAGGCCATTCTCAACAAATAGCCCTCAGAAGGAAAGACCAGATGGCAGGACTTACCTTTTAAAAGCAGTCTTATGCTTAAATCAATGGCACAACACACATGAACACAGACACCCAGCTTAGCAGTTTTAAAACACTTTGCAAAAAGAATATTTGCTTCTTCTAAAAGTCTAATCCATCAGTTGTGCCTTCAGAGTATTGCATGTTAATTCCAGTATTCCTCTTTAAAAATCTATTTATTTCAGAAAGTATGGTTCAGTAGCTATGGTGCCAGGCCTGAATACCCCAGCACCAGTAACTACTTTACATTTTGAAGACAGGAACAGAGAAAACTTTATTCCTGTGATCATACAAGTAATTTAAAGGCAATTTTAGGGCTTTTCCTTAAAAAGGTTACAGAAAAACATTTACTTTTACATTGAATTGTATGATATTAAAATTGGGAGGTGCACTCTGAGAGGGTAAAGATAGCAGAACTACTTTTTGGCATGACAGCCCCTTCCAGCAAAAGCCAAAAATTAAATAGAATCTGTTAATTCCTTTTGCTTTCACGGTTGAAAAAGTAAATGGATCTTCAAAAGATGATTTCATCAAGTCTATTTATTAATGCATTTCAAGTTTCAAAAAAACTTACATATCTTTGCACAATACTTTATTTTTTGCATTTTTTTAGTAAAAATTTCCAAAGTGAACAAAAAAGATACTGTATAAAACACAGTGGACATGAAATCGACAGTAGTATTCCGTATCATTGTCTTGAACTTTCTTTCAGTTTTACCACATCTTGACTTGCAGTGGAGAGTTCAGTGCAGATTTCTGTTTTCAGAAAACATTTAACTTAGACTCAAAATAAAATAGGGCAGCATTTGACTGCCAAAATCCTACCACAGGATAACATTACAGGCAAAAAATTTACATGTTCCAAAGTCTACCACACTCAAGAAGTTACTAAGAACTCTTGCTGAATAAAAGTCACCATTTTAGAAATGCAAACCCACTTTCAACCTTTGCACAGTCTTAAAACAAATGTATTTAAAATGACTTAAAAGCAACTACATACACTTCTAGCTAGTTAGGATCATTTAGAATTATTTATATAGTCTATTGGACTTGGGGTTTCATGTACAAAATTTGTCTCTAAACCATGTACAAAAAGCTGTATTTTGAAAAAGTTACCACATACTGTACAAGTTTACAAGGAAGAGATCCCATTAGATTCTGTAATATTTTTGGCCTTGCTGGCTTGCGTCACATTATGAGAATGATTGTGTAAACCTTATACTCTTAAAAAAAATAATAAAAAATAAAAACAATAAAAAAACCAAACAAAGGAAGCCTGTCCAACCTTTAGTAAATTTTCTCCTAAGCAAAGCCAGGAAAATTATAGCCATTTGCATCTCTAATTAGCTTGGTGCTTTTGGAAAACAAGCAATAAATACATCACAAGCTTAAACATTTTGTAATGCCCCCTTTCATCTCCTGCATAGCAGTAAGCACCTTTTGTTTCCTCCTTCAAAATGCCAATTATTTACATTCATAATAAAAACTTTGGAATGGGACATTGTACTGTTGAACTTCACTACAGTTATAAATTTGGGAAAATTGGTAGTCCTAACTACAATTTTAACTCTGCCACAGTTGCTGGGCAAATCCCTCTACTTTAGTGGTTATCAATCAACAGTATCTTGCAGAAAAGTTATCAAAATATTTGATAAATTAAATAACTACAAGCTTTTCTTCCTTTCCACATCCCTCAGAACACAAGCTTAATTATCATACTGTAAGAAAATCTGAACAGCCCAAATAAACAATTTAAAAAACAAGTTGAGTAACAGGCAGAATTTTCTAATAAAGCATGGAAATATTTCATCTAACCATTCATTATGTAACTGAATAATCAGACAAATTAAAAAGATTAACGCTGAGCTACAGGAAATCAGACACTTCTATGAAACATTTTTTTAAACATTCTGGCATTTGCAGAGTTTGCAGAACACTTGTTATATCTCAAAGACTGTTCAACCTTGTATGCTGTGTCTTAGCAGCTGCTTGATAAAGGTGAAATGAGTGCTTGAAGCAACTTTGATTATGATAAAAGAAGTTTGATTTGATTCAAAATTGCTGCGTAAAGCATCACAGGATCCTTGACCACTACACACCATCATCCTCTGTTATCCTGAGTATGTCAATTAAACAGTAATTTCTTCATTAATAGCGGAAAAGTTTTATAATACAAAGAAACATCCA